GCTTATAGACCATGAAAAGCAAGAAGAGCATGATTCAAAATATGCAGTTTGTCACACAATCCACAATGTCTTGCAGCAATACCAAGAAACCAAAGGTGAGTGTGTTAGGCTCCATCCCTTCACAGCAATAGTGCCAAATAGAACAATGTACCAAGACATTTGTGACCTAGCTCTTGTGAAAAAGGCCACAATTATAATCTTGCCTTTTCACAAGGAGTGTTTGGATACTGCTGGACGACAATTAACAGGAATTGTGAGGCATGGGGTTGGATCTGTCAATTCAAATGTGTTGGCCCATGCACCTTGCTCAGTTGGAGTTCTGGTTGACAAGGGTCATGTTAGACATAACAAACTGGCAGTTAGAAACACTGAGCTACATTTTGCCGTGCTATTTTTGGGCGGAGCGGATTCTAGGGAGGCATTATGTTATGCAGATAGGATGGCCGGGAACTTAAACGTGTCGCTGACTGTGATTCGGTTTCTTTCGCACAATTTTGTAGGTGATGATGAGATGGAGAAGAAGTTGGATGATGGCGTTGTGACGTGGTTTTGGGTGAAGAATGAGAGGGATGAGAGGGTGAGTTATAGAGAAATAACGGTGAGGAATGGGGAAGAGACAATCTCAGCCATTCAATCAGTGAATGATGATACTGAAAATAATTATGACCTTTGGATTGTGGGAAGGAAACAAGGGATCAATCCTGTGCTTATATCTGGGCTCTCATATTGGAGTGAAAATGATGAGTTGGGAATAATTGGGGACTATATTTCCTCTCTTGATTTTTGTTGTACTGCTTCTGTGTTAGTGGTACAACAGCAGATTTTGAGAGGGCAAGGGTCAGATAGTACAAGTGGAAGGTTTGCATGTAGCCCTAGCCCTACTCAAAAGGTGAAGGATTTGTTGATTTCATGGTGTAGGTAACTAGAGTTTGGTATTTCATAAACCAATGTATGTATTGCTAGCTAGGTTAAGGCTTTGACAAATGGCATTTGAAAGAGAAATAGGGAATTGCAAGGAGCTGAGGTAGAATTAATAGAGTTTAGGTGATTGAATAAAATTGGTACAATGGTGCCCACACGATGCTATATATTTGAATCGTATAAAATATGTAGAAAGTTCTAAATATATATACGTATATAGGCAATACCATTTTCATGTAAAAGCTTAAAATGATGTCATACAAACTTCCATAAAAAATAAAAAAGAATTGTTATTGGCACTCCAAAATTCTCATCGTGCACACCAAAATTTCTATATTTACAAAACGAAAAATACACTTGTGAGAAGTGCAAAATAAATCTTTGAACAGCCAATAACAATTCCAAAAATAAAGAGCAAATTAACTCCACATATTCAAAAGAAATTTGATAAACCCTGTGGACTAACAGAAGTAAAATGAAACTTAATTTTGTTGCATCAAGATGAGTGGACTCATGAATTATATTCTTCATGGTCAGAATATATATATGATTAAACAAAGTGCCCTGTTGGATAATTAGTAGAGCCATTCAAAGAAAAAAGCAATTAACTTCTTTGGTCCTAATTACAAAATCTATTAGCATATGTGGGCTTTGATTAAAAGGTTAATGGTCACCAAAATATTCCAGTTGCAATATATAATAATGCATGGAATATCTACGAAGTTTCTAATAAATCCAAAGTCCGTTTCTTTCTCTTCCTCCGTTTTCCTGCACCCAAAACCAGAAAGACGAAAATCTTAATTAAACTCAAGATCTCAAGAGGTCGAAACCACGTTGAGTAACAGTTTCAAAAAGAAAGGATTAAGACGTAAATACTGATAGGAATAACAAAAGGATTAAGACGCAAATTTGCTGTCGAGAAGAGAGAACGACAACTCAAGAAACGCAATACTAGGTGACCCCACGAGTCCCAAAGGGGTATTTTTGTCTTTGTGTGAGCTGAAAAAAATAAGGTATAAGATTAGTGAAAATGGGGACAAATTTGTGAAAACACTACGTTTATGAACAGTAACTTTTTGTTTGGGTTTATAAACAAATTTGCTGTCGAGAAGAGAGAATGACAGCTCAAGAAACGCAAACTAGATGACCCTATACGAGTCTCAAAGGGGCATTTTTGTCAATTCAAAGTGTGAGCTGAAAAAAAATCAACGAAGAAGAACAAGAAAAATGGGGGCAAAATCATCAAAACATTGTGTTTATGAATAGTAACTCTTCGATTGGGTTTTAGTATGTATATAATATAATTTGCATGTATATAGTGATGTAACATATGCTATTACATGTACAGATACTTCATATCATGCACTCATTTTATATTCTACTTCAACTCAAAACATAAACATAATTAAGCACCTATTCTCGACTCTTTAACAAAGTTTATCATCTTCACTACAAAAGAAATTTTCATTAGCACTTTTGCGTCATAAATTTTTCTGAGTACCAATAATTGTTACTACAATTAAAAAGAGATCCAAATGAAATATATGAACCTTATGATGGAAGTCATCTTGTATTTTGTTTATTTTGCACCTACGTAGGGGATAAATGCTGGTAATCTCTTAAGCTATAACTACCTTGTAATGTCAAAAAGAAATTTTGATCCAGAGTGTGCTGATCAAATATTTGGGTGAATAATTATAAGGAAAACTAATGAAAATGGCTTGAAAACTTTAAGTTTTAACAATAAGAACAAAATAAAGGGTAAAGTGAATACTACCAGGATTGACTTTTTAGTGTAAAAAATGTGGTTTTTCTTTATGAACAGTACCAGAAGTTTTTCGTTAAAGTTCCTATAATTATACAAATTGTTTGGATTTGCTAATATTGGGCTTGTATTACCAATTTCAAGGTCCATTTACAAATCAAAACAAAGAAATTACTTTCTATTGGAGTCCAAGCCCAAAATCTTTCACTTCCTTCCACGCCCTCTCCCTCCTCCAGGACCCTCCACTCGCTACAAGTTCCTCCATTGTTGTGCTGTAACTCTCTCTGTCTCTCTCTCTCTGTCTCTCTCATATTCTAGCTGATACAATTGTCTCTGTTTTATCTGATGTATTTCGCGAATTGAGCGACTACCCAAATCTTAATTTCATAAAAGACGACGACTTTTAGCTGAACCACTCACAGTGAGCTCCAGTTAATCCGACCCAGAAAGGTCTTTCTCATTCCAATCTAGCTTTCTTGATCGAAAGCCATCGCTATCGATTTTTCAGCACCAGAATTTTTGAGAAGAAAACTCCTTTCAACTTCCTCCTGCAGCAATGGACGACGATGGGTCCAACCCATTGCGCCGAATGTCGAGTCGAACTCGAAAGGTTGCTTCGAAAATGACTGCTGCCCTCCAGAGCAGTGACAACCGCACGCAGGTATACACACACAAACGTATATATATTTTATAATATTTTGGTGATTTTTTTTTCTGTGAATTTGTATAAGTTTATTAGTGTTGATGGGTTATGCTGGTTGGTTTTAGGCTGCCCTTGCTCGGCTTGAAGCTTTGGAAAATGATAATGCTGGTTTGGAGACGGTAGAAGTTAACGACGATGATGAAGCTTCTCTTGACGATGATGATGGTAATTTTTTTATGCAACTTCTCTTTAAACTCTCTGTTCTTGTTGGGTTATTATTTTCGTATTTGTTTTCGAAAACAAGTTATTATCTTGAATTAGGCAGTGGAGACTCTGTTGAATGATTTTGCATCCAAAACCGAAGTGCATTGTGATATCAATATATGCATTTTAAGCTTTTGTGGCTGGGCAATGCTTATTAAGTTATTAGCTATGGTGTACAAGTATGGCCATCAAATGGTATGTAAGAACAGAAGAGATTCGTGATCAACCTCTCTCTCCCTCTCTCTTGTCACTTGAAGTTATTTCAGTGAGTGGTCTATCGAAGTAACAATTTGAATTGCTGCTGCAGTGTTTATAACAAAGAAGCAGTCTAAGGGCACCAAGCGTAAAACCCGGCAGGCAAAAGCTCTTGAGGCCAAGAAGGCCCCAAGAACATTCCTTGAGCTTCTGCATGAGGTAACAGGGATTTTGCTGCACGTATTATTTTAGGATTTGAATTGCTTTGATGTGTCTTTCCTTACATAATTTTTCTCATGGAAACAGGCAAATCTCGACTCCTTGCCTCCTCATGTTCCTTCTTATCTGAAGGCAGCAGTGGGACCACCAAGCTCTACCTCCCGGCGCCATTTCTGCACTGTTTGTGGTTCTGCTGCCACCTACACATGTGTGAGATGTGGGGTGCGATTTTGCTCGGGTCGTTGCCAGAATATACACAATGATACTCGATGTTTGAAGTTTGTTGCCTGATTGGTGAGTGGTTTTAACCAACACATGCAGCTTTAGTGAACTGGATGCTGATTCATGTTGATTATCCATAACTATTGTTTCTATGTTGTTAGTAGTTACCGTAATCTTGTTTATATTGACATTTTGGTTTTAGTCTCCCTGAGAAGTAGGTGTACCATCGTTTACGCTAACATTTTGTTCTAAGGCAAACGGTTCTAAAAAGAAAGAAAGAAAGAAAAAACCAAATTTATCCAGCTGTGGTTAATTGAATTTTTTCTCTTGCAATCAAAGAAATTGCATCTCCTCACTAAATACCATATGCTTCGCATATCATGTGTCTTTCCTGCTTTTTTCTTTTTATTGTTTGATAATAGATTATGGAGGATTAGTCAACTTGGTTATGATCTTCATGTTAGGAGTTGAGTTCGCTGTAAGAGTTGCAGTGGTTTATTTCTATAACGGTTTTATGTAGACTTGACGGTGCGCCCTTTGGGGAAGTTGGCACCATCTCACAACATATAAGCTAGGTTTATCTCATGTCATGTTTCCTTCATATTTTGAGCTATCAACTGATCATCTGAAAGCCGGTGTTGAGAGCATGAATCCCGCATCGGGAAAAGAAGGGACCTTGCATGTGCTTATAAGTAATTGGGCTACTCCCCAAACTATCATTTGGTTTTATGGTGGAACCTTAACTTCTTCAGCCGGACTGAATAAGATATGTATTCTGAACTGTTCAAATCTAAAATTCCTTTCCTTGAATTTGGGAACATAACATGACAACGTAGCTGCTTGTTGGAGCACTGTCCAACTCTTGACTCGATACTGGAAAAGAAATCACAATGGGAACTCATTGACAAATTCAACCTAACAAAACGACAACAACAAAGCCATATCCCACTAAGTGGGATCGGTTGTATGAATCTTAGAACATCATTACGCTTGGTTTTGCGCCAAATTCAACCTAATACATAATAATCTAAGAATGCAATAGAACAAGTATTTCAATTTCTATAGTGAAAGCCAACTACTAGTGTGATCTTCTGCTGATAATTTAGCATCGCGGTAGATCTGCTGGAGGAGGAATTACAGACTGTAGTGGTCCGTTTCCGTTCTCGACTAGAAAAGCCATTGCCAAACCCAGGAAGAGATGTGCATCTAAGTGACAATGCATCAGCCAGACACCTATTTGGATTAAGAAGTGAAAAAACATAAAAATAGTGTACAAAAATAAGTTAGAAGAAAGCTTATGATACGAGATTAGCATGTTACCTGGATTATCAGCCTTAAATCGAATAGCTACCCATCCTCCTGGAGGTGTTCCGATGGTATTCCTCTGTGGCGGGTCAATGAGGTTGAATTTCGCTGGATCTGTTCTGGGGTTGTAGTTTCCAAATCCTGATCCAATCACATAGAAATGGTACCCATGAAGATGCATAGGGTGGTCCTCAGTTGTCACAATACTGGTGTCCTGAAGCACTATTTGTACATTAGCACCATACTTCAACTTGTAGAGCTTAGTTCCACGACGAGGTGACCATAGTCCCCGGGGCACATTTCCGGTATAATTGAATTGCACAGGAGGAACAGGTGGAAAGTCTGTGGTGAAGACACCAGGTACACCACTGTAGGCGGCTTGCATTAAGGAGGTGCTTCTTGGGAATACAAAGGAAACATTGTTCATGCTAGCTGCAAAGCGGGTGTTATTTGGTCCTTGACACCGAGGGCTGTTAGGAACTGTGCAGTTATTCAGTCCTAAACCCACAATGAAATACAGGTTCTCGTCAATCTGTGTGGGGACTTTGACCTGGGATGGGCTCTTTAGCTGAGCAGTGAATGCAGTAGAAGTTGCTGTGTCGTTGTAAGCTGGCAACCTAGGCAGTAGTGGTGCTAAAGGTTTGCCGTTCTTTGAACAAGCAGCATTCTTGTACTCAAGGATGGCAGTGGTGGTGGTATTGTCGAAGGGCGCATTCTGGGCAGTCTGATAGGCACGAGCAGCCACGTAGTAGCGAGCAGGGGGCTGATTAGCAGTAACCAGAACATCGGTTGTTTGGCCAGGCCCTAGCATGATAACTCTGGTTGTGAAAGGTTTTGTGTAAGCTGCGTCAGCGCTCACAACAGTCAGTTGGTGGTTGGCAACAGTAAAGAAGAGTTCTTGATTGAGTGCAGAGTTGACGACTCTCAAGAGAAGTGACTCGCCCGATTCAACTGGAATTCGAATGGTTTCTGCATTGCCATGTCTCCTTATGTCAACACATTGTACATCATTTTATTTTTGCATATTCAAGCAAAGTGGATTTTAGCAAACCTTGTTTGGAACATCTGTAAAGATCACCAGGCTGGCCATTAATGGTGTATGCATCAGAGACATTGGGTGCTCCTCCTGTGAAAGCCGCAAGCCTCTGGACATCGAGGGGGTTTCGATCAAACCATTCCCCAAGAAGAAGGGGAACTTCTCGTTTCGGCATTGGGAAGGGGTAGGGAGAACCCAATCTAGGGTAGATGATGAGGGCTCCGTAGACAGTGGCTCTAAGCCATCTGCTGTGAGCATGCCACCACAAAGTGCCCTCTTGGTCTGTGATTGTGAACCTGTATGTGTAAGTAGCTCCTGGCTGGATAGGGCATTGTGTGACGTATTCAGGACCATCTGCCCATGGATTTCTCTGCTGCTTCAGTCCATGCCTGAAAGATATAGAAGAATAAGCACTGGAAAAACCTGGGGCGAACACTAGACAGATAGATAGACATTAAGCCGTGTATACCATGATTTGGTGCCCAATCTCGATACAATACTTGATCGTCAAAGCATTGTACTCCCGAGTTAGCGCCAACCCTCTTTGTTTGTCAGATATAGGTTGGACCAGAGCCTTATTAGGTCGTACCCAGTGCACAAGGCTCCCGCTTTACGCAGGGTTTGGGAGAGGTGAATGTCGGCTAGCCTTACCCCCATTTATGGAGAGGCTGCTCTCAAGTCTCGAACCCGAGACCTACCGCTCATGGGCGAAGGCACTTGCCATCGCACCAAGTGCGACCTCTTAGCAGCAGCAGAAAATTCAAAAGAATCGTAAACTATGATGAAAGAGTACCAGTGGATGGTGATATTGTATTTTGCTCTGTTGGTAACTTTGACGGCAATGGAATCTCCATTTCTGACTTCCAAAGTTGGTCCCGGGAACTGACCATTCACCGTGATTGTGGTGTGGGTTCTGCACAGCCTCCTCACCGGCTTTGCTTCAACCTATTTCGAAATTTCCACACAAATCTAAGGCGTTATGAATACGAATATACAAATATGAAGATGACTGTATACGAATGAATGAATACATACTACGAATTCATGGAAGTGATCTTCTGCAGCAGAGAAAGAAGCTAAGAAAGTGAGGAAGGCAAGGCCAAGCAGAAGGGTAAATGTGGAAGCCTCCATTGCCTTGTGAATTAACTTGCAGTAGCAGCAGTGGTGGTGGTGTGAGCTTAGACTTGTGAGGGAGGACCTATTTATATATTTCTGGATTTAGCGGGAAGGGGAAGAACAAATATTAATTAATTTATTTATTTTTAATTTTATATTTGGAGGGATTGCCCATGTAAATTAGGTTTGTAGGTCAAATTGGACACTTAAGATCTTTGGGACATATTAGTCCAACCATAAAGGGAATTGGTTCACCCACTATGCCCTCTTCAACCAAGTCTTAAACAAATGGAGATTCTATGCTTTGAGCATGTCAATTCCTTGTGACTCTCAAGGGATAGAGAGTTACGCTTTACTTGATGTGAACAATTGAAAAGCTCGATGGTCGGAAAATGTTAACTATTGACCGTCAAGTGTACCTTTATGCCAGATCCTAAATTTAGACCATTTATTTAGACTGACATAAACGAACAATGTAATATGATAGACTGTATGTAATACGAGAAATGATCATTGTCGTTCTTGTTTCATCATCTCCATGCATGGAAAGTGAATCACACTACCACTTGTCCATCATCTATCTTGCCTTGTGGACCAAGACACTTTCAAGCATTCTAAATTTTCTCATTCACCCATTTTTTTTGGTATTTTTCTTGTATTATTCAAACCTATAAATTAAATAGGGAGAGTTAAAGGGGGGTTGAATTTTGGGTTGATTTGGTAGGGAGGAAGAAGAAGAAAGGAATAATTTTTGTTGCATTAGTTGACTAATTTTTTCCGTTATGAAATTGATGCAACAAAATTCCACCTTTGGAATTCCATGGACCTAACAAGTTTCCTACCCTTATCACCTCCACCATCTTCACTCAATAATTTCAATCCTCCTGCTCAATTATTCGAACCCATATTTCTTTATTATTTTTAAATTAGTATTATTAAGGAGAGTCGGTTGAGGTGGTTTGGACACATGAATCGAAGACATACAAATGTTTCAATTAGAAGATGCAGTTGTGAGACGGAGGCTCAGGGCAATAGGGGTCGAGGAAGACCTAGAAAGACTTTGAATGAGACTTTAACAAAAGATATAGAATACTTGGAGCTAACAGAAGACATCGCAAGACCGAGCGCATCGGCGTTCTATGATTCATAGAGCCAACCCCACTTAGTGGGATAAAGTTTGGTTGTTCTCGTTGTAAGGGAGGGAGGATTCGAACTTACTGCAATATTTTACGGAACGGGGAAGTTTTGAACCCGAGATACATAAGTGAAAACCCAAAACTCTATCTACTAGGATATTGGACCACATGCGATTCGAATCCATATTTCGTATCTCCATAAAATTTCCCAAAACGTATTCTACGGATGATTACCGTACAAAACAAAAGGGTTGAACAAGATACCTCGAAGTGTCACTCATTAGCTGAAAACCTTAGTTCTTCTTGAGTAAACCATTGATTCCCATGTTTATTAAAATAAGATTTGTTAGTTAACCAACAAGGATTAAAAGTAATAAGTTCCAAAAGCAAAGTAGGATCACACTAACACCTGTGAACAGCTTCACGAAGTTTGGATATTCTTTGATGATTTCTCTTTCAAAGTGTTTAGTGTTTGTTTAAACATTAATCAAGGCACTAATTAGCATGATGAGTAGTTAATCTTGTGTATTTCTTAATGATTTCAAATGAAGTAGGTTCTCTCCAGATTTTGTTGTAGAAGAGAGGATATCTGTCTTGGACGCTCCCAGCCAATTAGAAAAATTCAGAAGAGATGTATTAGGTAGCCTGCCAACTGACTTTGGAGCAATCAAATCATCTATGATTTATTCGGTTCCTAATCCTAATCTTAGAAACTTAGACTATGACATGACAAATAATACATTTACTCACGTTGCGATTCCATTGTCGTTCATGAGATTTGAACTCATAGCCTCCAAAGTTTAAATCGGAATGCCGCTAGACTGAAGACATGTTTGAAAATGTTTTTATAATAGGAATTGTTATTAGCATACCAAAAATTTCATTTGACACTCCAAACTTTTTATAATTAGAAAGAAAAATACACTTGTGAGGAGTGTAGAATGAGATTTTTGGAGTGCTAATAACAATTCCCTTTATAATAACTAAAAACGTTGTCAGATCTTCAAACGCTTCTAACCAAGTTTGGTGTAAAAAGTTAAAAGTGCTTATGGGTTCAAAAAAGCACTTGACAAGTGCTTCCTAGAACTGGAAGCACCTGCTATGCCTTCAAAGTGCTTTTTCAAGAAGCGCTTGCACTTATATTAAAAATTGCAATATATTTTTTGTTGATGCACAAAATCAGTGAGGACTTTGGTACAACAGAAAGTGTTAAGTTTGTGACCTTCGCTAGATTGCTCCGGTCACTAGTGTGGATAAGTATATAAATGGATAGAGACAGGGAAGCAAACACAAGATGTACGTGATTCACCCAGATTGGCTACGTCCACGGAGTAAAGGAGTTTTCATTAATTGTGAAGGGTTTACACAAGTACATAGGTTCAAGCTCTGCTTTTGTGAGTACTGGTGAATGATTTAGTACAAATGACATTAGGAAATATTGTGAGAGAATGATCTCTATTTATAGTTCTGACATTGACACGTATTGTGTTGTGATTGGCTTCTGATGTTGATACGTGTCGCGCTATGATTGGCTTCTGATGTCGACATGTGTCGCGCTGTGATTGGCCTTCTGGTTGGAGGGAAACTCTTCTGGGTCCTTGACGGTATAACGTTGACCGTTGCTCAGTAGTTTCGGGATTGATCAAGTATGGTACAAACAGTGTTCCCTTAAGTTCCCGAGTAAAGGAAGCTCCTCGGTTGGGGACTTGCAAGATCCAAGCCATTAAGTAATCACGAAACTTCTAAGTACCAAAGTGTGGTATCATTTTCACTTGCCTTATCTGTCTCATATGTAGATGTGGCATCTTCTCTGGAAGTACTTTTCCTCCATTCAGGGGTGGTATCTTTAACCGATGAAGATGCACAAGGTAATGTATCAATTTCACTTGAAGTTTACTTATAATTTCGGGCTTGGTCAAGTGCGATACAAACCCTATAGTAGGAGTCCCCCAAGTCGCCGAGCTAGAAGATTTGCCGAATGAGGTAACAGACAAGGTAAGCAATTAGACTTCTAAGCAAGCAACTTGGATCGGAGGTTCGACTTCGGCTTCCGGTTGATTGTTCTCATTCTCCTTGTGTGGTAAACAGTAACAAGGATAAGGAGAAGCAAATGGAGAAGAGATGATATGAGATACTTTTTCTTTTGAAGAAATAACTTTCCACTGGCTTATTCTTGAACTGAGCTGAAATGTTTTCTGGTTTCCTCCAGAGTATAAAGCCGACTCAAGAATTTGAGGGTCAAAACAAGTCCATCAAATCTAGAGTAAGTTCGACTCTGATGATATGGGATACTTTTGCTATTGACAAAGTAGTGGATGTATCGGCATGTATTCTGTTATGCTTGTCTCCACATACTTCCTTGTATCCTTCTCACTTGCCCTATCTGTTCCTCAGGCAGATATGGTATCTTCTCTGGAAACATAAGATGTTGAAGATGAGTGTCGAGAGCAATGCCAGGTAAGTAATCAGGCAAGGGGTTCTAGGCAGTCAGTTCTTGACTGGAAGCTTGATTCCAAGTGCTGACTTATTGCTCTCTTTATCCTTGTCTTGCAGGTAAAAACAAAGCCAAAGGAAAAGACAAGGAAAAAGCATGATATTGGATACTTTTACTTTTAACCCTGATGATATGAGATACTCTTACTCTGGTGTGGCTTGTTTGCAGAGGTATTATCCAGAGGAAAAGAAGCTGAGTATTTCGAGAGACTCTACTGAAAGTGCCCTCTCGGATGTGAAGAAAAGTTGAGCATTTTTTTTTATTTGCAAGTCTGCCTGGCTGTGGAAGATAGAAGTCGACATATATAGGAGTCTCCCTAACAACAAGTAATAGTGTTATTCCTTTACCCTTCTTGGTCATAGCAATGTAGTGGGAGCTGCAAGCTTCACGTGTTTTAACTTTGTCAGAGCACTTTGAAAGGTGGTTTGTGGCATCTGGAAAGCTGATGTTGCGTGTGAAGATTGCAGACAAGTCTTATCCAAGGAAATCTGGCTCTCGAGGTTCGGAGAGCGATGCCTCTTCGATTTTTGAACAAGCAATCTTGTCGGGGATCTGGCTCTCGAGATTCAGAGAACGGTGCCTCTTCGATTTTTGAGAAAACAATCCTGTTGGGAGTCTGACTCTTGAGATTCGGAGAGCAGTGTCTCTTTGATTTTTGAGAAAGTAATCTTGTTGGGAGTTTGACTCTTGAGATTCGGATAGCAGTGTCTCTTCGATTTTTGAGAAAGTAATCATGTTGGGAGCATCCTGTTGGGAGTTTGACTCTTGAGATTCAGATAGCAGTGTCTCTTCGATTTTTGAGAAAGTAATCATGTTGGGAGTCTGGCTCTCGAGATTCGGAGGGCGGTGCCTCTTCGATTTTTAAGCACGGAATCCTGTTAGGAGTCTGGCTCTCGAGATTTGGAGAGCGATGCATCTTTGATTTTTGAGCAAGCAATCTTGTTGGGAGTGTTTTCTCGAATGTGAGTAAAGGTTGGGCATTTTTATCTGTCTGCCTTACCACGGAGCACGAAGGTTGACACATATTAGGACTTTCTAGTTATCAAGCAGTGATGTTATTCCTTTACCCTTGTGGGTAATAGTAGGGTAGCTGGACCTTTAAAATTTATGTGTCTAACATTTGTTAGAGATCTTTGGCAAAGTTATCTGTGGTACCCGATGAGCTGATGTTGCATGTGGAAAGTGGTGCCTCTTCGGAATCCGAAGAGTGGTGCCTCTTCGATTTTTGAACCAATGGCCCTGTAGCCATTTCTTTTATAAGGGCACCAATTGTGTGCAAGAAGTACATTCAGATAGTTATTGCTTATAAGAATTTTCCCCTTACTTCAAAGATTTATTGCACCTCATTTCTCCTTCATCATTTCTGATAATGTCTGGCCCATTCGACCGTCATTTTGACTTGAACTTTGGTGAAGAGGCAGCCATGCCTTCTCAAAACAACATATAGC